GGTCAAGGGGTTAATGTTAGCAGGAATGAATCGATGATCAAATTAAAATAATCGATAGGTTTAGATTCGTTAGATAGAGATAACTGTGGCCCATTGCTTTCAGTAAAGGAAAATAAATTCTCTTGTTCACCTATATCATTAATAGAAGTACTTGCAGATGTAGCAGAATAGATAAAATTGGATGGAATACTATCTTCGTTACTAGATGTATCAAAAATGTCTATTCTCCTTCTTTTTGAAGTTTGAAATCAGATTCAGAAGTTGAATTAGGTCTCCAACTTGACTTTGTTCTTTTCTTTTTCGTATCCATTGCTCTGTAAGGGATACACGAAAATAAATAATCGAATTAATTTAAAAAAACTAATATATAAATTACTAAATCCTGTATTATATTATAGAATGTTATCTCGCAATCAGAACGTAAAGCACGAATATTTCGCAAGCTTTTGAGTGTTTAGTATAACGTTTCTGATATGACTGATGAAATGAAGCACGATCGCGTCGATCGCCATTTCTCGCAAATAAATGAATTCTCGTGCAGCATGGCACAATCCGACACGGATTCTTAAAAACCCCTGGCACTAAAACGGTTAAATTCAATTTATACACTATCTCGTAAATTACGAGTCATAATTCATATTATCTTTATTGTATTATTGAATAAACTTTAGATGGCAACCAAAGGAGCCAATTTATCTACGCGTGTGAAACGAACGATTAAGTAAAACTGCTGTTGTAAGGATGGGACAGAGTTCTCGAGTGATTCGCCTGGAAGATGCTTATTCCTTGCAGAAACAGCCGGACTGTTTACAAAGAAGAACGGAATCATAAAACCCTGGCAGAGAGAATTAAGTTTTCACAAGTAAAAGCATCGAAATGGCTTGGAAAAGTGTGGAGGAAAGTTGGTGGGCGCGAACAAAACGGAAGCAGAGATAGGAGAAGGAACCGGAAACGACACGAAAAGACAGGCTCCCCTCTTTCTACTGCGAACGCCTCTCGGTCGAATGGTGCTCGATATTCCCTTTTTTACCTTTAATTCCTTTTTCTGTCGCAAGAATGAAGACAGATTGCCACAGCGTGGTGCTCCGGTTTCCTTTGCTTGTGTCTTCCAACTTCGTTCCATCCAATTGCTTTTCTCTTTTCATTCGTATCCATGGAACGAGTTCTATCCGTTCATTCCTATATTTTTTCTCCCTTTACTCGTCTCTCAATGGGAGAAATCCTATCTTTTTCGTCATATCGATCACGACCACAATGTATGTTTAGTCGGCACTAAGTACCTTATTCGACAAAGACCACATAGTTCCAAGGTGCAGTTTCAATTAAAGCAACGCTGTCACACCCCCTTTAGTGCTCTTTGGCAATGCAATTAGCCGGGCACGGCACTTCTACCAAGGGTATCCCTTAAAAGGGCTGAAAGCGCGTGATAATTAAGATGCTACGCCACTTGCAAGAATAATTAAGTACTGACTCTGGATAGCGGTCGATGCTTCTTTTCTTGGAAAGTATATGCGTACACCATCACTCGTGAGTATTCGGACAGTTTTTTTGACAAAATGCAATTTAATGAAACCTTTCAAACTCAATGATTCCTACTCGCAGCATTGTATCTTCAGAAGTTTCTTCGAATATTTGCTTTTAATAAAATTAGTCTTTAATTTTAGTACGTAACACATGATTTACAAAATCATAAAAAAAATATATTTTCACTACGAATAATTAAAAAAAAATTTCTTTCTCACGAACTAAAAAGAATATCGTTTAGGAAGAGTTAGATTAATGCATATGGAATAATTTTATTCTTTATTATTATTGCAGTAGGATAATAAGACCATACGAGTTACTTTCTTAAGTTAATATAGAATAACAGAATTGACATCGCATTTCGTGGAACCGTTCCATTGTTTGGAAAGCCCTTTGACTTTACTGATTTTGAATACACTTCATTTTTTTCCAAAACGAGATAAACGAGATTATTACAGATTTCCATTTTCGGGAATACGCATAGTAATATGTATATCATAAAGGTGAAAATTATGTATCCTTCCAAGTTGAAAATTTTATTGTTACTATCACATTCCTCTCGATGCTCTCAATTCACACTGTCAATCTTAACACCTGTGGACAGGCCAACCATTTGAATCATGTAATATGTTACTGTTTTGATACACAGTTCAGAAATTTAATTATATTATTCGAACTTTGGTTCGATGAATTTTATTCTTCACAAAATGCTTTATAACTGTATAAATATAGACATAATTCGATGGTATAATTAGAGGAAAATTTTTAGTCAAAATTCAGTTTATGAAATATTTATTATTTATAAATTAAGGACAATTTGTTTTAGTGATTTTTCTAGAGATTATTTCCACAAATTTATTCAAATGCTTCAAATATATTTCGACTCTACCATTGTATATTTATGTATGATATCAGATACAGGAAATAAAAGATTCATATTGTATACATTTCAATAATTTATGACAAATTAACTTTCCAGCAATTATTACTAAAATATTTTACATCTAACAAGGTTCAAACATTTACCCGATAAGCACATATTTTACCCAAGCGTACTATGAAACCGTTTAACCGAAACCAAAATAAATTTTATAGCACCCTTTCTAACATCCATTATACAACCTGGCCGTAAATCTAATTCTGTATTTATTGTACGATGGAATCAAGTACTACAATAGTTGCCTAGAGTGGAAACGTTCCTTTGAAACAAATGCATTTACAAATTAATACATTCGTAACCTCTAACGTAAAATTACGTGTGCTCGTATGATCATATAAAATCACATCATTTTATAATATTACAAAAAGATGTAGGAAATTTCGGCTATTTATAAATTGTGCTAATGATCAATTCTCTTTTCCTTTTTTTCAATAACAAGTGGTTATAAGCAGTTGGTTTATGTACATTGATATTGTTGAGGTTATTCGATGTGTAAACAGAGAAAACACGTGGATAAATTGTAAGGCGGAAAATATATTTAAATAGAAGTGTAATTATAAGTAAGAATACAATTTGAGCTGATCTAGATCCGCACGCTAGCTGTGTTACCCAATAATTGAACACCCCGAAGCCAACGTCACCTGTCTACTGTTTATGGTCTGACTTCGTCGCAGTCTTTTGTCTACGCGCTGTCGATGGCTTCAGTGCTTGAGAAAACTAAAAAGACTAAGTGATGACCACTTCAACAGATATGTACGAAGCATAGGATATTTATGTATGTAGCCAGGTAGTCTTGCACAACGACGCGTGGGTGGGGTGCGATGCGCGACCACTGCAGCCCGCCATGCAAGTTGTGCACTCGAATGCCTTTAAGATTGCGTTAGATCAAGATCAAGATCAAGTCGGCGGACTTCAAGCGTGGAGGGAGCGTCAAGGGAGAGGGGCCCGCCTCCCCGAGGGACGAGGGTTGTTCATGAGGATTTCCTCAGGTAGAAAAAAGAAAAGAAAAGAAAAGAAAAGGAACATTCATGTATGCAAAGGGTACTGTATGTAAAGTATAGTACTAATACATCAAATATTATCTATGATATGATATTTAATATTATTAGGTTGACGGAAAAGTTTCTTTCGTTTTATGAGGAAATAATAGACGCACAACGTTTTTTGTTTTACATTATTTTGTCGAATTACATTATTTTGTCGAATTTTACATTATTTTGTCGAATTACGTACGATCCATTTTGTTCTGTTGAGATGAACACCGCGACATTTCACAGACTTGATTTCATGTTTGTACGAAGATGCATTGTTGTAAAAAACACATTTGCGAAAGAAAGACACTTTCCGGACAACCTAATAGATAGCTTCCAATATTTTTATAACTCATTAATTAGTAATTTGCAGTATGAACTTTGCAAAAACCGCATACAACACTTTGTGAAGAAACCTATATATACTATAATACCTTGATAATGTATTTAATACCTAACCCTACCTTTATCTTATCTTTAGTGAGTATCACAATGATGATCTAAAATTGAAATGACTGTAAATGTAGATGTCAAGGAAATAGCAACATCAGTAGAAGATGTTCAACATACCTAAAAAAAAATCTTAAATAAAATGGAATTTTGAATGGAAGTTATCTATTCAGACAAAACTATAAGAAATAAGAAATAATATACATACACTCAATTAATCCAGCTTTCTCCATATCAAGAAGAGAATTAGTCACGCTGAATTAACCCACCAGCAGTTAATATTTAAGTCTAGTTAGCCTTGCTATAGAAGCTGTAATTAGTGCTATCCACTAAACACATCTTACAAGAATGTCCTGTTACTAATGATATTAAATCAAAGGAAAGACTGTTTGAAAGTATTTAAGGAATGTTTGAACAACAACAAGTATATATTACAACAACTTATTTCAAAAAAATAAAAATATTTGGGGATGTATCGTATAATATATAATTTGGTTTAAAAAATAAATATAACCTACAATTACCTACAATTATTAGTCTGCCTGTACGATAAAAAAATTGTTAAATTGATACCTACGAAGCGTAGTGAAAAATACCTCGATTGATTGTCTTCTGTCCTCTCAGTGACATGTTCAATTGTAGGAAAAGTCAAAAGTCATAGATAGCCATACAGATAAATAGGATGGTAATGTTCAATTAGAGGAAAACTATGTTTTGCTAAAACTCCTTTCGGAATAAGCAGTATGCGAAATCTGGCGACATTGAAGCGATCAAAGGGAATACGATAAAGCATTTAGAGCATTCTAAAGAGCATTTCGAAAGATTCGTTAAAAAATTATCACTCATGGGAGAACAGTTCCCGTAAATGTATACATTAAAAAGGTGAATATTTTGAAGAGGATTGATTTCTTGCACCAATATCTAATAAAGTCTGCTTTCGATACAACCAGATCGCATATTTTTTGGTCACGCGTCGCGTATGTATGTCGGAGATGAAAGGAAACCGGAGCCTTTCCTTTGAAATTTTGGGAAAATCCTCTAATACTTTAGCCTGGATTCTATCATAGTCGTAATTAAGCAATTGTCGTCATTCAATCTGATTGTAATTGTTCGAGATTTGTGATAGCGAGATTGGGCTCGAGGTGACACAACTGGTCGCCGAACGTAGCAACGGTCACGGGATGGACGTTTTACCTGACGGAGGTGTGGAGTGGTTGTGTGGTTCTCCCTGGAAATGTGGTTGTGGTGGCATACGGCCTCAAGAACGGGCCTAGCCACGTGTGATTTTACCTCGGAGGTGCAAATATAATGGGACACACGTTGTATTAATAACCAAACTCTAGGCAGAAACTGCCTAGCAACGGCGATTGGAACTTTCTCGATGCTTCTAACGAGTATTTAACAAACGAACGCAATTGTAAAGGGAGGAAAATTTTCATCAGTCTGTTATTCGCACGATCGCCTTGGAAAGTTACACATCGAGCAGTTTATACCGAGCGTCCCAGCAAATCGTATTTTGTGCTTAAAAGTATTCTACGCTTAGTAAAGAGTAATCCCGTTGGCCGTGGATTCGTTATCGAACCTAAGAACATTGTCAATTGCATCTTGCGTGTCTAAACATCACGGTTGTTCGTTAAACTGTGTAAAAGTCATTTTTGTACCTGTAAATATAATCTCTGTTAAACAAACGATGGCTAATTCAAATGAAGAATTGTTACGCGCCCTAAATTCTAACGATAACCCGACATATATAATCGTGGGCATATTATTAAATAGTTGTGAAGCTAAGATCAAAGCACAACGTGTATTCTATTTCTTCTCAACTCTGTACAATCACTTATGCTGTTGTCCATATTGAGTTCAATTAGTAACAATAGTTAATATAAGTTGCGTAATGTATCTTTAGAATTCATATTGTAACAATATGTATTTGCTAATGGCTAATAAGCTGATGCGACTAGATAAATAAACTAAACTTTTATAATTATTCTGGTATACACATGTATATAATACATACCATAGTGGCAATAAATTATAAGCATTTTTTCCAAATTTATAATTATTGATCCATGAATTAGACTGCGAATTCTCATGCATTTATAGGAAATTTAAAAGTGCAAAATTGCACAGAATGTATATAATATGAAAAAAATATCGGGGGTGAAAATATCGAATAAAAATTTTTTTTTAATTTTTTTTTTTAATTTTTCCATTGAGACAACGATCTACAGTGAGATCCGTTATAACGAGACGTGATAAAGTGCACGCGTACCGAGCGAAAATTCAAAGTCGATTTTTTCGAAAATAAAGCCTCAAACGAAAACTTTTTATTCTATATTTTCTATGTTTTCTTCTTTTTTCGCGTTGAATCACCCCCTTTCCGCTAGTACCACCAGTTACCAATCACCCTGTGTATAATATTCAAAGTGTAGTACCTTCTATAATAAGTAATAGGTGAAACAATTTTTTATCGAGGCTCTACTTTTTCCATTATATACTCATAAATATGAATTTGCATAAAAATCGTAGTCTATTGACGATGTTTATATGCAAAATATAATGTTTGCTACCTTTTCGAATATTCTACATTCCTTATATTTACTTTTTGTCTTATTTATTTATCTTACATATTCCGTACCGTTTCATCATTTCAAATATAAATAAATAAATTAATTCCTCCCGCATTTGTGAGAAATTGAGAAGTGCAAAAGTACACAGAATGTTTGAAACGTAAAATGTCAAATCTGAAATATTTCAATTATAAAATAATTTCCAGTTATTAAAATTCAAATGTCAAAATATTTCAGATCTAACATCCGAGCTTCAAACATTTTGCGTATCTTCGCATCTTGAAATTTTCCATCGATGCGCAACAATTTTCAATCCGACAATTGCCAATAAATTATCGATTGCAGAAGTGTCAACATCTCAGCCAACCAATAGCATCCTGCCACGTAAGGTCAAACAATAATCTTTCCAAGAACATGATTTTATAACCACCCTGTTTATCGTATCAGTTCAAAGACCTTTCCCCCTCTTTTTTTCTTTTGTTGGGAGGAACACGATCGAATGTTATTGGCCGGAGCCAAAAATTGCCGGTATCGCTTGTCTTGAATCTCGAGCGAAAGATGTATCACGATAAACGAGCCGATAAAAGGGGTTGGATGGAGGTCGTGACGTGGGTCGGTCGCCACGATAGGGCGATGCAAAAACCACTTCGTCTTGACGGTTTAAGAGGCAGTCGCTCGTGAAGCTGTACGCGTCAAACGCAGCGTCGCGTTTTCGATGATAGAAATTGAATTTTCCCAGTTTTCCAACGTGCCGATTCGATTTGTTCTGTGATGTCAGTGTCCGGTGAAACTCTGGCAAGTTAACGACTGAACGTAGTCGATTCTACTCCAGAGGAAAGAAGATAAGAACGGCAGAAAGAGTCGAAGGTGAATTGGAACAATCAAATAGTAAACACGACGGATGTGTTTCTCGGTAAAAGAATAAAACGAGAGGTTAAAGAAACTGGACAGGAGGGAAAGTTTATCAAGGAAAAGTTGTGTTTTTTATTCACGCGAGCTATACAAGATAGGGTAGATATATACAGAAATAAACAGAATGTTTTGTACACTAGTAACTTTTGTAAATTAGAACGTAGAGCACATTGGAAAATTGTTTGTGAGAGCATCTTGATTAAAAATAACGTGTTGTATAAATTTACAGCCAGCCACAAGAGTTTATATACAGGGTGCGGCCGAATAACATGTACAAGCGAGCACGAGGTGATTGCTTATGAAAAAATAAGAACAAGATATGGAATAAAATTGTTTCATCTTCTCAATCTTTTCAATAAGTCGAAAATACAGAATAAAATCTTTTCTCAACTTTGTTTCCAAAACAATAAATTTGAAAATTTATCATATGCATGTAAGTACTAGATCGATTCTTAAACTAAACATGTTCGAAATCTGTTTTCTTGAAAATAAAGCCTTAAGCGGAAAAATTTTATTTTATATTTTTTATTTACTTTCGCTTGTACAATAACATCCTATTGATCGTTTACTCATGTTCAGTCGGTAAGTAGCCATGTTCAAATATACTTGATAAATTTTCAAAGTCGATTTTCTCGAAAACAAAGGCTTAAACGAAAAATTTGTATTCTATATTTTCGACTTCTTTTTTCGCGTAGAGTCAACCCCTTTCCGCTTGTACCACCAGTTACCAACCACCCTGTATGTATGATTATGTGTTACATAAAACTTGCTGCAATTTCATTAACGCTGTCATGAGAGGCAATTATCATGATTATGTCAGTAAAATTTGGAATGAATTTAAAAATGTACATAAAAGTTATTGCAAAAGTTTTCCATCTGTCCAAAAAAGTCCGCGATAAAATCTCGTCTTATTACATAAATTATTGTATTTTAAACTGATTTAAATTAATTTAATTAATTAATTAATGTAGTGATATTAAGAAGTTGAAGATGATAAGTGAATCATTCATTCTTAAACAAAGAAGTTAATAATCGATAAATTCGATTTGTTCAATTGAATCCAAATTGTATACTTGAATGCGTTTAAAATTGCGTGCGATCAAAATCAAGATAACTACACATCATAGACAAATCGAAGCAACTCAAGGCTAAATTTAAAAAATTTTACTGGCTCATTGGCCGTCGCTCCAACTTAAGCACTCAGAGCAAAATAATGTTATATAAAGCCATACTAAAACCTGTTTGGACCTATGGGATCCAACTATGGGGAACAGCGAGTAACTCCAACATAGAAATCCTTCAACGATTTCAATCAAAAAAAAAAAAAAATCCCAAAAATAAAGTGTAAATTAAAACGAAAGAACTTTCTCTTTGTTTTGAAAATGGTTAAATTTTAGCACTCATTGGAAGCGAAAGGTTCTTTTAAACAATGGGATTGTAAGAGACAAATGAAATAGTCATTTATCTGAAAAATGATGTGGGAGTTATAAAAAATGTGGTTTAGTACAAAATCATGATCGTGATTGTAACTCATTCGACTATAATTTATCGGTCTCATCTTTTATTCATTAAAAAGTAAAAATCATATTGTAAAACAATTTTCATTCTCAATAACAAAAATTCGCCTAACTTTAATTGTCTTGTTGCCTTATAATGTCTTATAACTTACATTCTGCCTTTTTTTTTAGAATTAGACTTTATAATCTGGTATAGTTCATAAAAAAGATGAAGAATTCATTTATATTAAATATGTGTAAACAATTCGAAAAGAGATTGTATGTCTTTGGGTAAATGAATTATGTCCTAAACTATACAGTTAAGTTAATACAACATTCGTCCATTTCTAACATTGTCGTTTGTTTATTTTATTTTTTAAGTTAATACAACATTCGTCCATTTCTAACATTGTCGTTTGTTTGTTTTTTTTTACTTACTATTAACTACTTATTTATTTACTTACTATTAATTACATTCGTTACGATTATTCTAAATTATTTTTTTTATTATCTCTACAATTTGTTGTTTTTCGATGTTTTTAACCTCACAGTTATTTCTGCAACAATTACTGTACATAACGTGAGAATCGTTTAACACATATCGGATGATATTTCTCAAATGAAATTACCAGAAAGATTTCAAGTGGAGACACCTTCATTATAACAGCATTACTCGTGACATTATCCCCTTTGGTACTTGAATATCGTGCTCTTTCATGTTCCCGCTTTTCTGTCGACATTTTCTTGGCAATGCACTTAGACGCCATTACTGACAACAGCGTGGCGTCAAATAACGTGTCGACAATAAAATTAAAACTACCCCGTCGAATGGAGTTGAATGTGCATTCAAGCGCCTTCAACGTAAAACATCGCGACAATATTTCGTCGAATCCAGATATGTTTTATTCCAGACATTATTCGATCCGCTTTATGAGATATTGATGACATCATTCGCTCCTACTAAAAATCTTGCCTTCTTAGCCCCGCTACGGTCCTCGAATTTTTATGTCCGAATCACGCTTTGGTTTTAAGAAACAAAAAGACGTTTAATGTTTGAAGAAGGTTTCAAAGAAGGAACAAAAAATTGG